TTGTACTTTGTATTCAAGATTTTGTACATTAAATGTATGACCATATTTCCCAAGTACCGTTACGAAATCAATTTGATTGTTCGGTTCCCAAACAATTAATGGTTCAAGGGCTCTTCCAGTAGCCCTCCGTTTTAATTCAATTTCCGAAATTCTCGAACGCTCCTTTACTCCTCCTAGCCTCCTCCTAACCATGTCAATATATTCCCACAGGGCATTTTTTTTCACTGCAATATCTTTCGGAAATGCACATCTTTCCGAGGGGGGAAGGAATCCGCTCAACCTGATGGTCCAGCTCTTCAAAGGCACCCAACAAGAATTCGAGATTCCCCCTGCAAAATGTAAAATGAAGAACCATACCTCCAAACGCTGTCACCAGATCGATAAGGTTGTTGGAACCGCTCAAATTGCAATAGCTTTCCCAGTAGTCCTCCATTTCCATACAATTTCCCACGTTCTGGGATGCTCCTTTAGCCCTCCTATACACGGAAACAAATAATTTGATTACAATTACTATAGTGACGTGATTAAAATACTGGGGGAAGTAAAGGTACAGAAGTGATCATCATATGGAATGGTAATATTGACTGCATGAAGAGGTTACAATAAGCACAGGAAAATGGAAGATTTATCTGGGAGCTGTAACCATATATTATAGTAAAATTATACACGGTGCAAGGTTATTCTAAACGTACCTATGTGATTGCAGAAACAATGATTGGCAGCATTAGTTTCGACAACGCCGCCAGGTGGCAAACCTTCTCGCAGGCGATGAAGACTGCTCGTGTGCATATAAAACCCTTACTTTTACGATACAATGACTCTACTCCTTCCCGAAGAAGAGGGAAAAGGGAAGTGATCGACGAAAAATCACATTTTTAAGCATCAAGTGATATTTTACTCCTTGAGGTAGAAATGTATGAGAACATTGACAGAAACATAAGTGTAGCGTTCGTAATCATAATAATTGAACTTTTTATGTCGACGGTAAATTTTTAAATGGATATTCACAACTATGCGCAACGTTTAAACAGCTCGTTCCTTGTAGTTGCATTGACTAAATCGGGAAGTAACCCTTACTATGTTTTTATTATGTTACGCTGGTTAATGCAACCTCCTCCCCAGGTTGTCCCGTATGTTGCCTTGCAATAGGGTTACAGTTACCACAATTGTGGTTTTCCTCCCCATTCTTTTTTTTCCGTGTAGCCATGTCAACATCTTTCCGAACGGTATCTTCTTTCACGGCAACCTCTCTCGGAGGTGCACATGTTTCAGAGGGGGAAAAGGAACCGTGGGTGTCTCTAAGCACCCAGAAAAGATTTGAGATTTCCCATCCAAAATGGAAAATGTAGAACTATATCTTCAAAACGCTGTCACCAGATCAATAAGGTTGTTGGCACCACCCATGTTGCAAAATCTCTCCCAGTAATGCTCTATTTCTGTACAATTTTCCACATTCCCGGATGCTCTGTTCTTCCTAGGCATGTCAACATCTTCCCAAAAGGCATCTTCTATCGCGACAATCTCTTTTGAAAGTGTACATCTTCCCAAGGAAGAGTGGACCCGCTCGATATTCTGATTCGACTCTTCAGGACACTTACCAGGAATTCGAGATTCTGAGCGTAAAACGGGCAAGTCTGAATTTTGAGTCATAGCTGATACGAAGGTATTTCGCTGGGCCGTAGGTTGGATCATTAGAGTGCCCCGTATCCTGGGGTCTCGTTAAATCGCAATAACAGACCTGGGTACCGTGCCCATGTGAAATTGCAACGATAATAAAGCCTCGTCGTTACTTGTTATCGCCACGCCTCTCCGAAGGCCCTGGAACTCCTCGAGGCCGCATCGCGTCCGGATCGACTCGGCCAAGAGGGGCTTTCAGAAAGTGGAATCATAAAACGAAAACGCCAGGTGAGGGGAGGAAAAAAAATGGAAAAGTTCTTCCACCCGCCCCTCGGTAAATGCTTTGAAGCGGCGCGATGAAACAACCCCGACCGCTCGCGCGATGCCGGTCAGGTCAAACTCATAACTCACCTCCTTTCAGTCTGGAGGGTAAAAATAGTCGATATCGCAAAACCAAAAAGAACAGCGCCGACAAACAGCCGATAACGAGGTGCCTTTAAAAAAAACTCCGAACTAGTTAAACCGGCGAAGCAAGTCAGCCTTTTTGCTTATTCGCGTACCTCCTGTCGCGGGAGTTCCCCGAGAAGCTTACGTTCTCCTTGTGTACTTGTTAATTTATGTCAAAGGTTTTGCCAACCAGTGACCATTACCCTCGAAAAGTTATCAATTATTTCTCGTTAAGAAATTATCCTAATGAACTTCGATTGGCCGAAGGTAGGGTAAAACGAAGTTCCGCTCTGCGAAATCGGCTTAAACGGGGAGATACGGTATTTTATGGATTTCGGTAATTATCGGTGGCATTCTCATTGATTTTTCCATATAATTGTTTCTCTTTTGACTGGACAATTAGTTTCGATGAGTATTGCCCGTAGAATGGAGAAATTACTGCGGAATAAATCATAATTTTTATAACTTATTATATCAGCGTATCTTCTCCCGTTTCAACGCGTTATATACACATTTTAATCATAGAAAACTACTAAACGAGTCGAAATAACTTTAACTTGTATTTAATTATCGTCTGACTTGATCTTTTCCACTTATCGACAATTTAGTTTGTATTTCAACCTGCATTTCTCTGTGAATAAGTAGATCGACATCGTGTCTGACCATACGAACACCGTGACTACTGAAATCTACTTTACCGAGATCTATTACCGACATATGTAATTCCTCGTGCCTTGTGGCGCACTCTGTGAGGAGATCATGGAAATATTTTCAATCTAATACCCAGATTTCCTCTTCATTGAATTTCACAAGGCTCCTAGATAATTAACAGAAAGCTAAAGGAAGGAATATTGAACACTATTCCTTCGCAGCTAGTATTTTATGATGAATAACTTTTATAAACCGAAAATGGCGAAAATTATAAAATGCGTCGATAACATGTTCTTCTCGAATCAGAAGATGTTACGCAACCTCGACCATGCGACATAGAGTTATATCGACCTCTACAAACAAATAAGTTTGTTGAAAAGACTTTACAAGTCGATTGTATTAACAGCTCCAGTGATTACCAAATAGATTAATGAAACTCGCCAGGGATATAATCTTTCAGTAAAGACTACACTTCTAAAAACTTCACTGCAAAACCCGCGTTATGTGTTTAATTAACAATCTTTCACAACGAGTAGAAAACACATATGGAAAATTATGCCTTTAGAAATGCACTAACATATGAATGAATGATAAATTGCTGCTGACTGTATTAGATATTTCGCTGCATTTTCTGCAATGCAAACATTTCTTTGTGGTCGACGGTATCCTTCTTCTTTTTGCACGTTGATTGCAATTAGAATGACTTTCAGTGCCGTTAATGGAAAATGTATCGAAATAAGGTAAACTCGGGAGGACGGTATCCGAAGTCCAGATAAGAGTGACTGGTGGAACAGTCGTCGTCAGCTCTTGCTTCCATCGAGGAGGCAAATTCGCGAGGAAAGGAAACCTTGAAGACGGAAGTTGTCATCTTTTTCAGGTCAGGCCAGGCCCTTGCCATGCGATGTCGCTGCAGAGCCCCAGACTTCGACACTACAGGTCGAAAAAGCAAACTCAAATTAATACTTTGTTCGAAATTTCGTCTGCTAAAAATTCTCTCGCTCCTTCTCGTAATATCGCTCATTCTTCAAGTTCTTTGCATTCACCGCTTTCTGGTATAGTACGTCGTCGTTAAAGACTGACAGCGACTGAGTGCGCATCAGTGACATCTGTAGTACTCTGCTATCATGGTAACAATAGTTGGAATCACATAGAGTTCTTTCGAATCACCGTCACATGTGACCATGAATGGATTTGGCGCGAGATGCTTTCCGATTAGTATTTTTATCTCTTAGAATCAATAGACAAGATATTTCATGAAATGTGTAAAACGGCCAAATGTATCGTTTTCGCGTTCTAAAAATGTAAGGAAACTGTTAACGTCATATTTGCACTAGAAATTTAGAAAATTATAATGATTGATTTAGACAATAAAGGCATAGAAGATGACGAAAGAACTTTGTGACCGTAAATTAATTGTTCAAGATTTTTCGATGTCAAGTCAGCTGTACATTACTGTATGTCTATTACGGCTCAATTTGAAACAGATAAAACAAAGTCACATGGGAGCAAGAAAGAATATATATACATATTTTATGAAAGCTTTGTTTCCGTCTTATTCTGAAATATTACTTTATTCGTTGATAAGAATGTTTAGGGCTTATGTACGTGCTACAAACTATGCCGACAAGTTCTATGTACAAGGACGAATATTTTCATTACCTTTCAGAAAAGTTGTCTTCTAATTTTCTGGAGAAATCGATTTCAGTCGATGTTTCTTAAACAAAATGTCAAACTCGAGCAATTCGGAGTGACTAAATTTTGCGCGTCACTCATATTAATATTCAATTGCGGTTGACAATTTTTTTTAATATAAGGTCGAATCATCAAATTTTTAATTAAAAAATCGGGTCACGAAATTTCACGCACCGGATAAATCAATATCTAATTATTCCGAAAAATTGATTAACGAAGGGAAACCAATCGAACCAGGCCATCTGTCTAATATGTCTTTGAAATTTGCCGATCCTCTAGAACAGAGATTTTTCTCCAGAAACGCTGAAGTGCGACATTTTCATTTAAGAGGCGTCTAGCTGGGGTGATTTATTCAAGCACTCCGGAGTTTTCCTGAAAGGTAATGAAAAGTTACGTCTTTGATCTTCCGATTCGTCGATATTATTTCCGAAAGCATCCTCGAACCAAGTCCTCATTTGAGTGCTCTCTCGGCATGGCCTGGTTCACGTATTTTGTAATTTAAGATGCACTTTCTTTCGCTCAATCTCTGAGATTAAAAGTGACTCCACCAAGTGACGCATTTCTCTTCAAGTACGCCTTTCGATTGCAGGACAATGACGGCGATTTGCTTCGTGTGCAACCTGCCCATCCTGAGTCATCAGGTGGGCCTGGTATGGCAAGGCGGAAATGGATGGGACGACCTCGTTAGGGAACAGGTGGAGGAGTCGACCTTAAAGCAACGATTAGGTATGATTGGGTTTTCAATTAATTTAGAGAACTCGAAACTTGCAAATCAGCATGCAATTCATTGAGTATACCTTGTAAAATGAACTTGCATAATACGTCTCCTCTTAAAAAGATAAATCTAGAAATTAAATATTATTAATAATAGTTTCCTGTAACCAAAATATAGTTAGTTTTAAAATGTAGTGAATCTATAGATTCGTACAAGCTCATTAACACTAGATTTCCGGGCATTGATTGCATGTATATACCTATTTTTATTTGATTCCGCCATTTTTGTGGATACATTAATCTCGTTATGATGATTTAATGATTTCAAAGATGTTACGTATTCGTGAATAAATAATATTTTTATTTTCTATATTTTTAAGCATATAATTTGAAATTCATCAAACTGATGGGTTCTGCAGCTCTAGTGTTAAACATTTATATCCCAAGTAGTAAATCTGTTTTATTGCTAATTTAAATGGTAATCGTGACAATAAGTACCTGCCTGCCCAATTGCCATGAGCAAAAATATTACACTCTAGAAAAACAGAAATTCTTGGGTAGAATAGAGCTTTACTGGCCGCTATCAGCAAACTAACAATAAGTGAAATGAAATTAAGGCAAATTACAAACAGTACTCAATTTTCTTATGCTCAACTCCTCCAAGTCTGACTCATTCTTTCCACTTTCTGGGTATAAACGATTTAAAAAGGAAAGTTGAATCACTTCGATGAGTGACTTTGAAAGAATTAATAATATCCTTGTAACGAACTAGAGTTTAATAGAATTATCAGGGAGTCCAATGTTTCTTCTCAAACTTCTGACACTTACCAATGAACTCGTTCTTACATTAACTTCAAACAATATTAATTCGTCATTAATAATTTCTGTTACATCAAATACTAAGCCGTTTGTGTTCAATACGAAATTCTAGGCAAATTCATATAATTTTCATGAATATTCTCAATACTCGATACCAATTTCATACATAAAATTTATTTAGCAAAATCATTTCCATTCGACATTAACTTGCCTGACAATTTGGGCAGCACACTGAATCTTGCAAAATCAACTTCACGGGAGCCAAGAAATTTCTTCAGCAAAAACCATCTACATAGCCTTAAGTAATTAGAACCCTGAAAGTAATGTTTTCCCTCGATATAAGTAATTTAAATTCTGCAGGACATTTCTGAAGATTAGGCATCGTTTTCAGAACGAGATGAATTTATTTGAACTTTGAACATTCTAGCTGGGCGAAGGGACTCGGCGGCTCAGATAACGTCCATCTCTCCACCAAATGAGCTCCAGGAGTCATCTCCAACGAACCATGGTCGTCGGCGTTCCTCCATCGCCCAGCTGACGGACATCCTTCGGGAATGGGGCGGAGGAGGTGGGTCCGGGAAGAGCGGGAAGGGCAAGCTTTACAGACGAGAAACTCTGGCAGACATCGCCAAGTCGATGCCCTGGTCCAGACAGCAGACGACGGATGCCAGCCACCTGGCTAGCCTCCGGAAACGTAGGGAGAGTTCGGTGGACAGCGGCATCAGGAGTCAGGTGTCCACCAAGTCTCGTCGAGACTCCGCCATTAGCGATTTCAAGAACGACCTGGCCAGGCTCTGGAGCAGGAAGGACTCTCAGCAGCAACCTCAGCCTCCGCCAACGGTCATCGCCCCTTCGCCCAGAAGAGGTACCCATTGACCCAGAAACTGGATGGCGAACGCTTCCTGACTTCCCATTTCGAAATCCCGTAACTTTTGAACACCTACTCGGAATACCGTAACTTTTGGCTTAACATTGAGCGCTGATCGCTGCAACTTAGGCTTCCATCACTTTGTAAAGAGTCTCTGCACTTCGATCTCGTCGTGATCACTCTAATCCCTCGATTTACGCGGATGGTACGTTCCGAATGGATCCTTTGGAAAATCGAGCGAATAGAGTAATCAGGACGGAAACAAAATATTTAAGGTGAAGTGAAACACCCTTCAGATCAGTCGATTTGAATACAACACTTTTTTTTAAGGGTATTAGATCAAACTGTCCGAAACTTTGACACATCACTCCTGATCATCCAAGAATTGTCCTGACACATTGAAAATTTGGGTTTTTCAACCAAATTTTTTAACTCACCCAAGACCAGAACCAAAATGGCGTCGAGCTCTCATATTTCGATCAATATACAATCATCGAAGGCTCTGATATGAGAATCGAAAGGGTCAGGACAATTTTACGACAATTTAGAACACTCTGGTAATCGATAAACTCGCATTTGAACGGGATAAAGGCAAAAAAAGTGTTGTATGCGCTTGTATGCCAGAACGATGGTAATACGAGGTCTCGGAGGGAAAATTTAATTGTCCTGGACATCACAGATGGCGCAGGGGGTCCCTCTGCAGTCAATTAGAGCCCCAGAAAGCATGAATCCAGAGGATTTCTGGAGTTTTACTTCGATTTCTTTATAATTATTGTACGAAAACGACAGGTGGAGTATGCCATTTGGTACAATACCCAATATAATTCGATCCAGCTGTCGATATAAAAACGAACGTCGGCAACGTAGGCATTTAGAAAAATCTTCTTTATCGACGTCGACCAAGTTCTTCGAAGTGTTTCATTTCACATTAGGAGGATGTGGAAGTGGCATCTGAGATATCTATCGTTCGTGAAACTTTTCTCCGAACCGAGTGTACCGAATCGTTTCAAACTTTACAACGTGAATATGAAACCTATAAGGAAGGTCCTGACACCCACGAAATTTCATTTTTTATAAAAAATTGTTTAAATAAATATAAACAATTTTTTACAAAATTGAAATTTCATGGATGTCAAGTCCTTCTTTATAGTCGTTACAGTCATATTGTAAAGTTTGAAACGATTCGATACAACCAGTTCAGCGAAAACTTTCATAAACGAGACCTATTTGACGCCACTTTCACATCACCTTAAGGTGGGATGAAAGTGGCATTTCAGGAATCAACGTTTCGAGCTGACGTTTATAAAGCTTTCTTTCGAACTGAGTATATCCAATTGTTTGAAATTTTGCCAAGTGATTGTGAAAGTTCTAAGGAAGGTCCTGACACCTGTGAAATGTAATCTTTTGAATATGTTTTTAATTTTCATAAAGTTATATAGTATACACGTCAAGGCAAAGTTTTAAACAAGTCAGTTCACCCAGTTAACTGAAAAGTTTCATAAACAATTGACTTCTCAGATGCCATTTTCAGATCACCTGGAGAAAAAAATTCGGTATAAGTTCCAGAAGTATTTGTTCGATGAATTTTGACTAAAGATATTTGATTGATATTTATATTCGATTAATATTTTAGAATAAAATGGTAATACTTTTTTTTAACTTGTTCGGGGTAATCATTTCTACTTATTGCTTGTGGGAAAAGGCTGAATATATTCCTCGCGAGTGAATCAAATAGATCGAAATTACGTCATTAAGGCAATTAACTTGAAATTTAATTTGTGAATGAATCATGACTTTAACAAATGTCGTAGAAAAATATATTATGAAACCGAAATTGTTAATCTCGAGTGAAAAGAACCGTATAAAGTATCGCGTAAATTGAGGAATTGGGGTACTTGAGGGCAATTCTGCACATTTTATTTTTTATTCTCAGTTGAGACAAACGTATCTGCAATTATATTTGCTTATACCTTGCTTCGCTTAATGCTAAAATGTAAATTCTTTAATAAAATGAATTTTCTTGTCCAGGATCGGGAGAGTCGGTGAGGACTTCTAGACGCGGGTCTGGCGAAAGTGCGAAATCCAGAAGAGATTCCGTCATTGGTGGACAAACTCCGAGTCCAGGAGAACGAAAACACAATTGTCGCCATCATAGACGCAAGTTGTCTCAACAGTCTTTGGAAGGTGGAATTACCCCGACAAAATACTATCGAAGTGACCAAAGGCCAAGTGCTTCCAGTACCGATAGTGCTGCCAGTGCTGCAGTCAGGTTTGTTACGTTTAAAATGTCTAACTATTATATCATTTAAACCTACTAATCGATTGTACCTACTAAGCACTCTATTTTTTAGTTACATAACACTGAAATAATGTATAAAGAAAGTTATTCCCTGAAGATTCACCGATATTATATAATATCGAGTTACCGTTCCATAACATTATTACAATTTTGTCAGCATAGCGGTGACACATATGTTATTAACATAATACATAATATGTGATGTGTACGTTTTATAACGGTAAAATTGAAAAATGTTCGAAAAGACTTAACAACTGGTAAAGATGATTAAAAAAACATTGAACAAGAAATGACAGAAAAAAATCTTTGAAGCACTGAAACCTGGGATACGGTGAGCCTAGGCATTAAAAACTAAAAAGTAATCAACATAAAAAGTTATCTAATAAATCTCGCTACATGATGGATCAACTTTATTGTTGAATATCTTGGAAATTACGGATGCTTAGAAAGTTTGCAAACGAGGCTTTTTATTTGCTTTTTTGCGAGAATTAAGGCGGTGAAACGAAAGCCATTTGATATATTTTGATTTCGAGTAAGCTTCAATCAATGCGAAGAAATTTATTGGAATAATTTGGACTTGATAGAATTCGGCTCTAGATGGTTCGTATATTTGCATACTGATTACAAAGAATTTAAGAAGCACTATGGAATTTATTATTGAAAAAAATAGCTTTGGGAACACTTCAAAGCTCTCAGTGAACAACGGACTCCGGAACGGCTCATTAAAACATTCCTCTAGTATCGATTCTTCGATATCGAATTTCCGGAATTTTTCATCTAAATTCTCAGTATCTCAAAACCGAAACGCCCGGCACCAAATCACTTTTATTCGTGAAATCTGTTTCTAGGAGACTCTTGGCTGAAATTCGAAAATTCTGATGGGTTAACGCATTCGTTGCGTCTCGAGAATTAAATACCTTTAAAACGTGTGAGTTCCTTGTGAACGTGTTTGTTGCAACGGAAGGATTGATTTTTCTTCTAAAATTTTACATTAAGATTCAGTCAGGTTACCAAAAAGATCTACAATAAGCCATGAAAGTCTTATACAAATCGATAAAGCAGTTTTCGACTAATCGTGGTCACCGATTTCGAATATGCAGTTTTGTGGAAAACGAAAATCTCAAGTCGTGTTTACGCTAATTGTAAGTTAAAATATGCATTTCTTGACTTACACAGAATAGTCTATTCCAGATCCAAATATAATGAACTTTAATTACTGTGTTTGCAGCCTCCAAAATATCCATTTGCTTCCGTAACAATGTATTCTTCCTTCTTGATATTTTTTCATAGATTCCCTACTCTTGTTCTCCTTCCTCATTTCCAGAACCCCCATAATCCCGTCAATTTCAATCGTAATACTTTGAATCTTGCCCTCAATATTCTTAAGGTGATGAAAATCCTAAAGATCGATTTTCTGAAAGTTTCTGACCGAGCCAGATCCCTTAACAGGGATTTCTTTTTTAACCAGTTGACTGTGATTGACGAGTATACTCGTCAAGCGTACAAAGTAGGGACCATTGGCTATTTAAATTTTAATTTTTGAGAAAAACAAAACATATTCTCAAATTTCAAGATGTTTAGAATATTTTGAGGCCAGGCCGGAATAAAACAAACGAATAAAAAATATAAATAATTTGAGATAAACTCATGCGCCCCGTATGCACCGGCTGAAACAGCTTGCCATCTATTAGATATTATTTGTTTGAATTCATATATATTGTATAAAAAAAATAATGGAACGTTATCGCGAATTTTGTTGCTAGAATACGTTGAGGACACTATTGCATCGTATCCAATAACACGGGAAAAATCGACACAAACTCGGCCATCTAGGCCTAATGTAACACAATTACTCGGGAATCATGTTCTGGATCATATACCCAGAACTTCGAACACAAAAAATCCTACCCGAAGGTGTGCACGTTGGTATAAACGCAAGATCAGGAAAGAATCCCGTTACTGGTGTTCCATTTGCAAAGTCCCATTACGTGTAACACCCTGTTTTGCCGAATACCACGCCATAGCAGGAATTTAAATTCTTGCTATCATATGCATTTAATTTCTCTTGCGTTTTTCGTCTAATAAGTATGTAATATATGTTTAAGTTAACCAAATAAATTAGTGATAAAAGTGTCAATTTTATAAAATAAACCCATCTTTTTGATCGAATATCTTAACAGCGACACTTACTCTGTGATTGACGAGTATACTCGTCATCGTTAGATTTCGGCAACACATATAGATGCGTGCTCGCAAAAGGGGACGCCACAGCTAACTGGTTAAAATTCTCTATTAGGTCCTTTCCCCCAAACATGACTCGTAAACGGACGTTATATCCGCAGGCACATGCAAAAATGGAGAGGAAATTAATATAAGGATTAATATTTTAGAGAACATCTGGAGAACCAGAGGAGTCTGTCGGATAAGAGCGAGAAAGCCAACAGCATAGAGATGAAGACTCATCCGATCGTTCCGGCATCGGACGCGAAGATGATAACTTCGGCAACGGAGACCACGAAAGCCGTGATAACTCCAGCGGATTTGAAAGCTCCCGTCCCCACGACGGAGCCGAAAATCACCGGTGGTCCACCTGCTGCCCAATCGAAAACGGTCGCAACAACCGAAATTAAAACCACCGGAGCAGACAGCAAAAGTCTATACCTCGACGCCTCCATCACGCCTCCAACCATCGTGATGTCATCGGTGACACCGCCGACGGTCTCTCCGGTTGCCGGAAGCAGTCTTCCTCTGCCCGGTACATCGACTTCCGGAAGTTCCAGCCCCGTGGGCTCGCCCAATGTCAATAACACTCCTACTCATCCTTTGCTCGCTACTCGAAGGGACTCCACCACCCAGGTAGACATCAAATAGCCAACGGATCTCAGTTTCAAGAAGTTATAACGTTCCATGCAATTTCGCGAAAATGTAACGTGTTTTTCCATGTTTTATTTCGTAATTTTCTATAAGTTAATACTAAAGAAATACCGTGAATTTTGTGGTTCGACAGTTAAGCCTGAACCGACAATGTTGATCTCGCATAAGCCTCATGAACGCACCCGAGGTTCTGGAGTATACAAATGTGATAACGAAAATGTAACGTGTTTTTATTTTATTCTCAAATTTTCTGTAAATTTGCGCTGAAAATGTACCGTGAATCTTGTGGCTGGACTATCAAACCTGAGATGAAACCGTTTATCTCGTATAAACCTCATAAACACACATGGAGAAATAGAGCATTACACAAGAACTTAAATAGGGAACGTGTCAATGAAGTTGGTCTCATTTGAACCCAAAAGATATAGTTACGTCCGTTTTTGCTGAGGTCTAAATGACCATTAGACTGGGTTAACCTTAAATACCACAATTTTCAAATACCTACTCAATTCAGCCTCGCCTCATTCTCGAGGTCCTCCACCTCGTTTCTGACTCTAGGAACAGAGTTTTACATTAAATTATTATATTAGCTTGTAACATTAAATTTTATACATTTAAAATTCAACTTTTCATGAATGCAATTACGCAAAGAGCTCATATTTCTGTTACAATTTCCACTTATTCCTTCTCTAATGACCAGTAGCTTGAAAATTTGTGGGTCTAACTCGTATAAAATGACCAATTATTCACTTCCATTATTCACTTATACAATTCAAATGTTTCGAAGACTTCCAATCGGAATAATGAACCCTGAGATTCCTAATGAACAACCTAGAACTAACAGCTCTGCTGGCGAACTAAATCATCGAAGGAATAGGAAATTTAGAGGTTCAACTGAGACGATCAACAATTTCGACTTGGGAAGGGCTTTGTAAACAGATTGAGGTAATTCTGTTGCGCCACATGGAAATTATAAACTTAGTCGAGAAACCTCTGGGATACCGTTCGACTCGTTTGGAGATCTTTAACAGGAATTCTTTTGTAACGGTCATTGAATTGTATTTTTTTCAGTGTTACTACAAGGCGAAAGAAGTTTCGCCGAGTAAACTGTCGAGGCTGACGAGACAAGCAGCAGCTATGGAGGAATCTTTGCCACCAACTGGTCGACGTGGAAGTCAACCAACCCTTTCACCAGATCCAGACGATGGAGGTATTAGAAATTTCAGTTTGAGATCCCGCCAAATCATTTTGAAAAGTTCAAACTCTAGAATATACCACCGTAAAAATAAAACTTTATATAGAAATATGAAAATTGTGTATAAAACATCACATAGGATGTATATGTGGATAGGTTGTAAAACTTTTCCAATGCAACTTAGAAAAACACTTCTTAGCCCTCTCGTCGTTATATAAAATATCGTTTTTGAATCTCAGTATATTACTGTATTTTTTTATTTTTCGTTGTATCTTTGAAAGGATTAAGTGTATGGCCATCTTCATTACGCAATTTTAAACCGAAAGGTAATTGTTTTAAAATCATATTTGTTTTTGATCTAGGTCGCAAGGCCAGAAGGGATTCGCTCAGTCCAGACTCAGCATCTTATCCCAGAAGACGAGACTCGAAGAGTCGACTGAGTCCTGACAGAAGCGCCGAAAAGAGGGACATCAGTCCTATTAGGCAGAGAAAGAGGCAACTGAGGAGACAATCTACATCGATAGCTGCAGGTCGACCACCGAGGTAGATCCTGGAAAACTCCTTCCTTTCTCTGACTTAAAACATAAAAGGGTAATAGATGTGGCTTTAAATTTCCCCTTAGAACGGAACCTCTCATCCAATGTCTGCGCAAGTACAATACACGTCGTTTACATTGCAAACGCCCAAAAAGAGAAAAATATCCCGTCTCTTATTTATGAAAATTATTTATTTCCTGATTTCTAAGAGCCGAACATTACATTCCACACATACAATTATTCGTATATACGTATTGAAATACAAACTATCTCCTATTTTCATACGTAGAGATTACTTATCCCCTGTTTTCTAATTTTATAATATTAAATTTCACACGTCAAATTGATCATACTTTTGACGTCTGGAGTTAACATTAATTTCCTCTTCTTATAGCAGCAATCAGGTTAAAGTCTGAGGAGGGTCTCCTATCGCAGAATAACATGTCAAAAAGTGTAGACATACACGTAGAAATATAATTCGCAATCATGATAACAAATTTGACTTACTTCAACAAATTCAACACTTAAAAGGGGGCAAAATGTTATGCATTTTTTATACAAACCACACCTTTCATTGGGACAACACAAACGATATCCATGGTTGCAATATTCTTTTCAAACACCAACAATGTATCGCTTATTCGATCGAGCAGTGAGAACGTTTTTTTGGCTGTTGCTACAAAGTCATTTGTTATTTTAGCAAGCGTTTTTTCAAAAGCAAACTCTCCTTCGAGTTACATCTACGTTCGTTTCAATTGCAAATATTTTTGCTGTTGGTACAATTATTGCAGCAGTAAGAAAGAAACTTTATCAGCAATGCTATCCTCTGCTGAAAGTGCAGATGTCTTTTTTCCGTTCAAAACATTTTAAAAAGCTTCGAAGAGGCTTTATATGTCTCCGAAATTCTATTTAATGATTTAAGAAACCAGGCCTTTTACTTTGTAGAGAGTAGTGGAAACGGCCAATTTGATGGCAATTTAACAACTAGCATTTCATTGTTGCAGGTCACCAGACAGCTCGTCGTGCTCTTCAAGAGACCCCAGTCCCTGTGCTCGTGCACCGAGTAGCGTTCCACATGCACCTGTAATCAGAAGACAATCTACAACGGAAGAAATTCTCATCGCCCGTGGTTTTCGTCGACAGAGTACCACCGAGGAAATGATACGATGTCGCAATTTTCGTCGACAAAGTTCTCAGAGTGACGACACGGTTTGTTTTCAGACCCAAAAGAGCTTCCTTTTCCCTGCTCACCAAAAAATCGCAACACTTAAACATAAAAATCATTTATACCGAAAACCGACCCGTTATTTAGGTTAATTTAAAGAGAGTGATTTAATTTTGATTTAAAGAATTCTTGAAATTATCCAGCTACGTTCATGGCCTCCTTTCGTTGTGTCAAACGATATATATGTAGGATCAAAATTCAAGTGTCAGGATTAACATGAACGGTTGGTTTATTAATAAAAACATTGAAGAGTACGTCTTAAAGATCTCAGAAAAAGGGACTTGATTTTCCCTCCGACTTCGCTCGAGCTCTCCTCAGGCAGAACTAACTCCTATTCGATCGTTCTCATCCAGCCTCACTCTAATTTCTTTCTCACTCAATTCATATTCCTCACTCTCTCATTCCCACACTCATCAATACATTTCTTTGTGCGTCAAAATTCTCACTCAATGAGTCATACGGCCGCTCGCACTTCACGAACTCTCAACCACGCATAAACGGTATCACCTATCGAGCTGTCATTTAATCTATATACTTCTCATTTCACCCCACAATCATACAAACATTACATTTCACTCTAACTTCTATTTAGTCTTATTCTTAATCTTTATTGCCTTATTGGCGACACAACTATTCGTATAGCTAAACGTTTTCATCTTTCTTTTTATTCTATTAACTTTATAGGATCGCACAGGACACTGACACTACATATATGCCAATGATAATGAAAGTACCCTAAGTCATTTTTTATACATAATTAATATCCCACTTTTGTAGTTTAAATGGATACAACACAAAATATGGAATAGATTTATTTTTCTTGGTTTTTTACTTGGACCATTTTCATGATTACTGGCACATGTGTGGTTATCAGACATGTGCCAGTAATCATGAAAATGGTAATGGTAATCATGTAAAGCTTTGATTTTTAGGTGAGTAGTCTTCATGATGAATACTGCATTATTGTTCATTACTAAAAAGTTTATATTCAAATTTATGCAATAGATGAATTTAATGTTCCTGCAGAAATATCATAGAAATAGAACCGATAATTTTAGGTTGTATCCCAGGCACTGCGGAACGTGGAATATTCGTAAATTAATCGTATATAAATGTTTATTGAACGTATGTAAGATATATACAGATATCTATGAACTATTTTAGATACACTCAAAGACTAGATGGCCGGTCATGTAAGTTACAGTGTAATTACATTTTTATAAGTCTGTGAAAGCGCAATATAACCTATCAATTTAACGTTTTCGAATAGTTTAGATTTCTATACAAGTTATCTAAAATTCTACGATATATGTACTGAAAATATAGGCGTGAAAAAGATTTACACATATATTCACGGGATATTTTTATTATGCATACCATAGATAATGTAAGTTTTCTATACGTATGTCCTAATTTGTACGTCCACTATCAGTAGATTATACTTCATACGGTGCCAGGTAATACATCATAGTTTACACAGTGGTGAAAAATCATGATGTATGGTCACTAGCCAAACAGGAAGTAAATAAAAGATCAGAGTATGGACGAAATTAAGTTTTATCAAGTTCAGATATAAACATTATGTATGTATGAAAAATGCTAGATTACACGAGGTGTCTTTTTATTTTTCTGAACGTATTTTCAATTATGTTGATTAACCTTTGACAGATGTCTACTAGAGCTATTATATATTTTGTATTCGTCAAGAAATAAGTAGATATTTATAGATCAGTAATGGATATATAATTTTCATCTACAATGGACATAGAGATTTATATATATCCTTTAGATATTTTTTTAGGTGGATGATAGACGATATACATTTGCTATACCAATAGACCTAATTTAGACGATTAATTTATGTATATTCCACTGCCTGGGTAACGAGACTGTAATTGAAAATTGGGAGGATTATCTGAAATGTTTAGATCGTTTAGACGTAAATTTCAATTTCCGAGCTTTAATTGAGGCAATAATTCCTGTATCTTTTGAAAAGATGACAAGGATTGCAACGTTTGACTTTTGTTTGAAAAATTGATATTTAATGAGACATTTTTAATTATTCCAGGTTCAAAGGTATCGAGGCCGTAGAGACAGTTCTGCTCAAATCACCGATGGTACCTTCGCCACGATGACTGTGGAAACGACGAGCACTTTTTTCGACAGTAGCACCCAAACCGGTGAGTGATTTTCGAATTGAAATTTTGTACAAACTTTAACGAAAAATAACATGTCCAGTATACTCGTGTGAGTGGCCATTAAAGTTCTGGAAACGAATTTTATAGTCAACGTAATGATTAACATTTGTTTTACTGCTGGTATAAAAGCCATTAGTATCATCAAATTTGGCGACAGAAAGTATGCCATTTCGTGAAAATTATGCTAATCGAGAATTTCGATCATATTAATAATTGGTTGGCTTCAATTTGTAGAATTAATTTATCTAATCTTTGAAAGTAATTTTGTAATCGTAATTAAATTATCTAATTTAATGCGAAATATTTGAACATATATCCTTATCATGAAAGACACTCTCCCAACAACTACCTACTTTTAAACCGTTTCTTTGTCATTTGCAACTCCGAAAGCTCTATAAAGCTATTACCATAAAAGAGAAACCTGAAAGCTTTGCGGCTAAAATATCGAATTTCTAGCTTTCCGTCTTACCTAAACGATGCACGTAACTTACGCTATTCTGCTACATTTAAACCATTATTTTACAAACTTTAATATTTTAAAGTAACTGAATTATTTATCAACCCGACTTGAAGTTCACGACAAAGTGATTCCCACGTCTAAAACTAATATCCAGTATTTGAGGCATTGTCTTTCGATTTAAAGTCACCAAGTGCACATACCTCACTGTGCAATTCAAAGCGAATCTTAATAGAACTCGCGTATTACTAGATTCAAGTATAAGCTTTATAATGCTACAAATCCGCATTTCAATGTCAAGTAGATTACGTCAGTACGAATAACAACTTCCTAATAACGGAAATCGTTTAAATTTCGCGCGAGCACGTACCAGGAGATTCAAATTTCCCGCCAGAAAGATGGCGGCCACCCCCGCATAGTCCAGAGCCAACAGAGGAACTATTACTAGTCCAATTATTGGAAGTTCAGAAATTCTGGTATTGGAAATTTAAAAAGCTAAAATCTTCAGTAATTCAAATTTTCACGCAGCGCAATAATCACTAATCGATTGTTAAAATTATTGAGAATAACTTGAGTGTTATTACAAAAAATGCAATTCTCATAAATTCGCACAAATTTGCAGAGAATTTAATCAATGGTTATAGTCTCGGTTATATCGCCAGAGAAGTATAATACACTAAAAACTACGTGGAAGCCGGTGGGTTATTTTCAAAGAACCAAGTACGATGCGCATGCGCCGTCTCATCCAGCAGTGCGCGAAATAGCGTGAATGAGTGCAATGCCCATTAAAAAGAAACACAGAACATATGTAAATCCCACTAACGGCATTAAGGGACAACGCGATGACGTCTGTCAATTTATTTTAAAAACAAACGTGCATTCCTTTCTGCACAATTCGAAAAGAGATTGAGTAAAACTCACGTTTTCATTAGATGCCGGTTCAGTTGTTATACCGCCATATACAAGCTTCTACACCCACGAATCCTCGTTCAAATTTCAGGAATCAAAAATCACCGCGAATAATAAATCCCTACAGACCGAAACCGTTAATATTTCCCGCGAGTGCGTATCGATACCCGAAGAAAAAAGTGTCCGTGAACCAAAGGAATATTTCTTTGAACAGTACCTAAGAAATATTTCGTTAAGTCAAAGAATAATAATTCGACTCAAATAAACTGTCATAATTCCGAAGAAACGTTGCATCAAATTTATTTGGGTTTATTCGAGTGTATTCAAGTTTATTCGAATTTATTCAAGTCAAATAATTATGCTTTGAATTAACAAAGTATTTCTATGGGTCCATGCCATTTTTATTCTCCGAGTAGATTCGAACTCCCCGCCAGAAAGATGGCGGCCTCCCCCGCCGAGTCCAGCGCCAGCGGCACGTGGGAGCGACGGTGGTTTGTTTTCGAGGAACCGAGGGCGACGCACATGCGCCGACTCGCCCGGCGATGTGCGAAGTAACGTGGAGGGGTGCGACGCTCATTAGAGAGAAACACGGAACATGCACAAATCCTTTGGACGGCGTTAAGGGACGTCGCGGTGTCGTCGTGCCGTCGTCGTCACCCCCTGGTTGGGGTCTCGCGGAGCTCGAACGTGGCTGGCCCCTAGTCGGACCGGACCTCTACGAGAGGAGGCCTCGAGTGCGCGAGGTGTCGAACACCCCGAGGGACATGGAGAGGGACGCGATATCGCATTATCAACACGCGAGAACACCCCTGCCCTCGTGCCCTTAGCGGGCCGGCCCTTAATTGATAGCGGGCGATGATCGACCCAAGATTGAGCCGCCCCTGGCGAGTCCACGCTCGATAGTCCGACACTTTGCGAGTTCGGCCTCGACTCGTCGAAGGGTCCTCCGGAGGATCTGTGTTTCCTGCCAGGATACCCGTTCTGGATAGAGCCGATTGTCGGTCACGGGGCCAGAACAGCTGGGGAAAGTGGCCGGATGTTGGTTGGGAGTTTAGGAACTGGACCCACCGCGCTTGGTCTGAGTTATCAGAACTCTACGGTTGGACTTTCGGTTGGACCTTCGCTACATGCATTCTTCCTTGTGCTTCGGCGATCGCGTTGAAGTGCTGGGGACGGAGAAAAGGCGTCGCGAAGTTGACGTTGAGTTGTCATCTTAAGGAAGAGTTGTTCTCGGATTGTCGACCTTCTCAAGAGGGGTCGTTAAGAATGGGCTCGGTAGGGAATGTTTATCCCTCAAACGTGTCCTTATAATCCTTAATTGATGTGGTTGATCGACGAAGAAAGCCGTAGAAACTTGAGATATCGGGGGGGTTGGTGTTGAAGTTTGTCTGGAATTATCATGGGGTGTCAAGTGATCTGTGGTTGAAGTGGAAGTAATTTAAACCCTGACACGTGAATGGTTATGTACTTGTCTTAATATATAAACAGCTGAAGCGCGCCCTGAGACGTTGTGTCGAAATAATTCCTTGATGTCAACTGTTGTTGGGAACGATGAAGAGGATTCAAGGAACCTCTGGACGTTGATGAAGCCTGCGCTGTAAGTCATTAAATTCGGAAAGTGGACATCGCTTTTGAATTAGCTGCAGATGGTGGAGTCCTCCCTTTCATCCCGGAGAAACTGAAAATATAGAAATGAACAAACGCGGTTCTCTTGATGTCAACTATTGTTGGTAATAATAAAGCGGATTCAAGAAACCTTTGGATTTAGATGAAACCTGTAAGTTATTAAGTTTGGAAAGTACGTGGTCATCGCTATCTAATTAGCTGCAGATGGTGGAGTCCTCGCTTTCATCTTGGAGAAACTAAAAATATAGAAATGGACAAACGCGGTGCTCTGGATGACACTTTATAGAAGGGATGATCAGCGCAAATTTTCTCGACGTCGGCGACGTTGGTGATTTACGTGTAAAAGCCAAATGATCCGGACAAGATATGACCCCGAAGTTAAAAATTCCCATGCTCCTGTGACAATGTACCCTTGATTGGCCTAGGGGTTCAAAGAGATCTTTACAATCGACCTACTCCCAAAGACATGTGCAAAACGACAACCACTTGTGGAGGTTGTTGAAGACCGAAAAAGGAGAAGTTCGAGTGCAACGGTTCTCTTATCCGGGTAATTGAGGGAAATCGAGGATGAAGTCTGCGTACTTTCTTAATCTATATCTCGGCTTCTAGTGAGATATCAATCCGATGATGTACCCCTTCTTCTATTGATTAATTTTTATCATAATACCACGTGACTAAATATCCGGTGGTCATCACTACAGATACCCAATTGTGAAAGTTACGGCAAACGATACGTTTACTATCAATTGATAAAATTGCTGTACGAAAGCAATTAAAAAAGTTGAATAAAAAATGCCTGAGTGTTTTAACCACAAATAAACTCGTTCAGATAATTCTACTCGTCCAGGTAGTAAATTAAATGGTAACTGGATAAAGTCATCCACTTTCCAAGGCGTTTAAGAAGAAGATTGCAAAACTACTTATCTCTAACGCAGCCAATTTCGAAATTGATTCTTTTTTCTACGATTAGGTAATTTCGTTCGCTGAAAAGTGCAGTTTTACGAAATCGTTATTCGAACTTGGTCATAATTAAAATCGTTTGAAGAATTCGCAGAAGGAATATCGAAACGGAGAACGATCACCTTTAAAGTTCATCGTTCTCCTCTCGAGACATTTCCTTCTTCTTGTTATTAAACGTCTCTGCGTACTGTTTTAATAATTGTAGAGAAAATTAACGATACTCTGAGTAAAAATGTAATCCCTGAAACTTCATTGTATGATTCATATACTAACGAAGTCTCACCTTGAAAAGAAAACTCTTTCTAACGAGGTCACGTTAATTTGACGTAAGGCAACCCTTCGTAACAATCGCAATAAAAGAATATAAAAATCCTGCAGAAAAGTGATACACGCTGAAGATAAAACTACTCAAAGTCCACAATAAAAAGGTAAATAAATGAAGACCAGAGAAGGAATTATTTTAAGATAATTCACGTTACAGAGCGTGGTCACTGAACAATATTTATAGTAACGTCTCAGTCGTCAAAAAAATTTCAGGGAACATTTTCGAAATGTGTTGAACATGACACCAACAGAAGTGCTCCGTTAAAAAAACAACTATTAAAAAACGTTAAAAACAATGATTAAAAAACGTTAAAAAACAACGACTAAAAAATAATTAAAAGGTTCAATTTCAGATTGTTTCTTTCTTCTCTTATATTTCTCTTGCTTAACCCGAGGATACTTTCTTGCGAGTCCCTGAAGGTGAAAATTAAGAAGTCATTGTTTATGGATGCGGCATTGTTGAAGCCAACATCAATAAAACATTCCTAACTCTGGCAATTGAGAAGAGAGTGAGAGTTCAGCGTTGAGTTATTCTAATAAATTGTGAAATTCTTGTGGACTCATTTCACAAATTTACGCATTCCTTCTATTAAGATGATTCGCACTCGAATAATCCTGGATTTCATGTCTGCGAATCTTTATTGAAGACTCACGTAGCGATGACAACCACGTGCGGAGGTTGCGGAAAGGAGATACCCGATTGAAT